TGATGTAGCTGACTGATAGAAGAACTCGGTCCTGCTTATTAACACAGGGCTCTGCAGTTACAAATTAGAGCTTATTCATCTATGAAGAGCATTCACTATCACCATCCACAGCGAGGAGAGAGAAAAGAACTCCAACAAACTCCAAACAGAAGAGCCTGTTGGCAGCCGTCAGGAGACTCAGAAGAAATGCAGAGAGCTCCTGTGCTCAGCCCCTGTGATGTCTATCAGGGAGCTATTTCAGTTGCTCCCTGAGGCATTCACATCTCAGCCCATCTGTGGCTGATCCTAAATTACTTATGACTGTGAGAGATAAGGGATCTCCCCATAGATAAGGGAAGGGGGGGGGTAGAATGTAATTTCTGTGTTTGATATTTATATTAATGTCACTGCATGCAGAAAGCATTTAATTCCCAAGAAGTGGAATTCAGGTGGCATAAAAATATCAGAGAAGATTAGATATTAAGAAAAAGTCACTCCATCCAGCAGCTGCTTTCTTCCCTTAAAAATGTTCCCCTTGGTAGAGGATCAGGTGACAGTGGGTATGATGAACGTTGAAAATGGAATTCTCTAATAGCACAATTCAGCTGCACGCCAAATGCTACACAGAGACCCTGGCAAGACTGAAAGAAGACAGGAGAGCATAAAAGACTTTGTATTGCAGTAGCCTCTACCCTCAAAGTGCTTCCCAACCATGACTGAAGTTGCTGATCTCACTTCTTGGAAAGGCAAAGACAGTTATCCTCATTTTCAGAAGCCAGGAGACTGAGCATCTGTCCCACCAGTGGCACACTGGTGTTGTCCTCACAAGAAGGTACTCTGAGTCACAGCTTGTCTCCTGGTCTCCTGTATCTTCAGCTAAGGACAGGTTCTGCTCAACAGGTAATGGAGAAGGAGCTTGCTTTTTGGACTAGCTCCCCCAGCAATGCATCCACAGGCTTTGTCTGAGGTAGGGCCAGTCCTGGATGATGTTATGGCAGCACTACCACAGGGCTCATAGCAATGAATGTTTAGTTCATACATGAGCTGACTGGAGTACAAATGCCACTTTTTGGAAGCATTTCTTTTCATTAATGCACCTGTCAGAACATTCTCCATCAAGTCTAGGGGATGATGTCTTGAGCTGCCACCTGTAACAGAGATTGGAGGCTCCTACAGTGCAGCAGTCCTGGAACAAAATGCTTAAGACCATGCTTCTGAGGTACTGGAGGGACACTCTGTGTGCAGGTCATATGCTCATCTTCTCACACAAGTAGAGAGCTTCTGGTACTGTACTCAGCCTCTCATCTGGACCACCAACAAAACTGGGACAATATGCAGGTTTTTAAATGATCACAATCTCTCCTTTTCATTGTGCAGAAACTTTAACTGCTACCAAATCCTGTCACGTGTGGTATGTTCATGTGAGATGATAAAATATTCTGATAGACACACACACACATACTATTTCTTGCTATGGTGAATGGAAGGCTTTGCAAAAAGGTGAAAAAAACATATTTGGGACCCTGCCCATGTGGAAAGTGAACTCCTACTCAGGAAAGAGCTTGGCATAAGTAGCGATGGAGAAGTCAACTTGCTTTTCCAGATCCCAGTTCTATTTGCAAAGTAGAAATAAGATTAAAAGAATCTTATTTCTTAACTTTATGAAGAAATTAGAAATTATGGATGACAATAAAAATTCCACAATATGGTTTCAGGCTACTTGACACCTAAAAGAGCTTAAGCTGAGCTTTTCCATGGTTTTATATTTTATATGCATTAATTTAGCAGTATGAATCCTAGACAGTCTTTAATGAGTTGATCATTCACTGGTTTAGTCCAGCCAATGAATCTGGTGGTTCAAAAGAAGCAAAGATGAAGCCAACATTCACAGGACTACTTGGGGAAATAGATAATTTTTGTATTCTTTCAACTTACACAAAGTTACTGAAAAGCAGTTGGTTCTTTAGGCAGGACAACAAGGGCTTAGTTGAATTCTCCATTATAATTCAGGATTCCAGTGTTTCTACACACTGGAAATTTTGTTTTTCAGTCAGCTGTAGTCCTTGCACTACTTGAGATGTAAGCTGCAGTAGGGACTAATTTTAAATCTGTCATTAGGATGTTGGACTAGCACGAGTTAGTAGAAGTCTACACTGATAAGTGCTTAGCCTTACCTTTAATAAAGAGAGCATTTGATGGTTGGTGACATTAGGGAGAGTTTCTGTGGTGTGCTTAAATTTCCCTTGAGCCACCTTCAGTGAGGTTGGGATGGGCTTGATTGGAAAATGTAATGGCTTTTTCCATTTCCATTCCCTTTTGCCAAGCTGGTCTTTAAAGCTGCTCTTCCACGACGTGTGAATTTGTCTCCATTTGAAGAACTAACATCAGATACAACACAGAAAGCAGATTTCAGAAATGAGCTATTAGGCAGCAAAGAGGCACTTTTAAGATGCTTGCAAGTTGCACAGCAACCAGAGGAACATATAGTCATTTGATTTCTCAAATGACTTTGACTCAAGGGAAAAACAGTTTTATTCTCCCCTTAGAGCTTTCTATCATATGTGATAAAGAGAAAATGTGTTTATACATTTTCACCCTATAAGAGAAAAAAAGGTAGTACTTGATCTCAGAGCAACAGCAGCATCTATTTCCATGGAAATTACCTCAGAACACATCCAGTCCCAGCCCCTGTTCCTCATCTTAAATGAGAAAATAGAGCAGTGGAACCTTCTGTTTCTCCTGGATTTTACACATAACGCACTGACCCTCCTGAAATCAAAGATTAAAACCCAACCAGCCAGCTGACAATCGATGCTTGAGGGGTTTTTTAGTTTCTGTAGAACTGGTTGTTTCATTGCTGTCCCCATACCTGGAATTTTACAGCAACATTTTCTGATCATTACAGGCAACAGGTCTTGGTTTCTTGGTTAGTTTTTTTTTTATCCCTATGTCAACTATTGTCCAGTTTCTGCATTGTCATGTAGGTTGATTCCAAATCAAACGTGTTTCTCATTTTCTTTTCTGGTGCCCTCTGGACCACAGTGTCACTTATATGTTAGATGCAGCAGTGATGTTTATTATAGTAATAACACATAAATATCCCACTTCATAGATGCCAGATAGTCCCTTGGAGATCTTATTTTCAATGCTAATTTTGGTCACTTCATATATTTGAACTACTCAGTCGAAAAAATAGTCTGACTGTGATACAAGCAGCCTGTTACAGCATACAAAATATATTCCCAGACTCTAAAAGTTCTACAGAAATGAATGGCTTTATCAGACTGAGCAACAAAATTCTTCCTCTTGCTTGACCTTGGTTTAGTCATTTTGAAGGCAGCAGTGATAGTGCCCTGTGGTATACAGCACTCCAAGAACTGCACATAAAAAGTCCTCCCAATATTGAGCAGTTTTGGCTGTGAACAACTATTTAAAAGATTAAAATTAAGAAATTGTCTCTTCCACACCAAATCTGATCTGCTAAGACCTATGGGAACTCTTAGGTATCTTTAGGCATGATGAGGAGAGCCTTGTAACTGTCTCATAAGTGCACATGTGATGGGGGATTCTGTATTAGCCTGGGTTGTGTCTACACTGCAATAGTGCCAACAGGGGGGCTTCAGCTAGGGTCAAAGAATCCCACCAGTCTGGGGTGGCAAAACAGTCAGACTTCTGCATTCAGAACCCTTTGCTACTGTGGCTTAATCCTTCCAGGAGCTGGTGTAAATGACAGTGGTGAAAGGGTGCTTTGCCTGATTAAATCTCCCCTAGGGGAAAGGAGAGTGGTGGCACTAGTCCCTCCCAGAGATCCCTTGCCAAGTGGCAGGAACAAGACTCTCATCTTCATGTACTCACCACTTTGAGTCTCCTTTGTAAGAGGTCTCTTCTGCTTGGTAGATGCTGCTAGTACTACTGTGTCCTCTGGAGGTGTGATTCCTTCTGATGGAGCTGCATCTGATCGTAGATGTACTTATATTGCTACAGGAGTGTGTTTTTCAGTAACTGTATCCATGCTAGGACAGTTTCTCTGGTTTCCTTACAGCAAGGTAAGTATAACAAGCATCCTCAGAACAAGAGCTGAGATTTTCTTCTGAACTTCCAGAGCCTGGTGAGAAATCTGAATTCAGCAGATGAGAAGTATAACTTCATTAGGATGGATTAGAAATCAAATCCATAATGAAAACACAGTTGTGTTGGTCTTGCAGACATCTCTAATTAGCTCTGGGTCTGAAAAATTTTGAAAACCATGGGGCTGTCCAGGTATAATCAGGAACATAAAGTCTTCTGGCATTGACTAGAAATATTGTAGCTTGAGTTTGAAATTCCAGAGGCTGTCTGGTATTAGTCTGCAGCAGCTGCAACCTGAGCACGTCTGGTGTGGAGTCACTGAGCTGCCATAAATCACCACCATAATGTTATTTTTTACAGAGGGAAAGTAAACTTTCAAGTGTCGCTTTTGCCGCTGTGATCAAAGATTTCTTTTGCCTCTGCTTAATCTCTTACACTTTACAACTGTTCCCCTCCTTAATAGCAAGGCACGTTTATGAAGGTGCTGTCCTGCTTCCCAACAGATGCCACCTGGCTGGACTTGCCATGCCTTCATGCTGTCTCATGCCCACCCCTTCCACACACACATTTGCTGGCCAGTGATTTGTTTGAGGCAGTTGAAACCTGAAATATTCTGAAAAGAGCTGTGCTGAAAGAGAAGCACATGGGAAGAGAAAAAGCCTGTAGTAATTTCCTTTGTATCACTCTTGCGTGAGGCTTCATGTATGGAGACTGATCTACATAAGGATATTTCAAGAGGAAAAAGCTTCACAGAAGAAATCTTAAATCCTGTGTACAAAGATAAGACTGAAATCTCCCTCCTTCCTTCCCTCTGTCTCCAAAATACGCTTTCCCACCCCATAGCCAGCCCCAAACCTAGTGTGAGGCTCTGTGTGGGCTCTAACACAGACGTGAGGGGGAGTGCACGTGGAGTACCAGTCACTAATGATCTTCCTTTTTTCCTTCCTCCACAGTTTGTTGCTCAGCCAAACTGCCAGCAGCTGCTAGCGACGCTCTGGTACGACGGCTTCCCGGGATGGAGGCGGAAGCACTGGGCAGTCAAACTCCTGACCTGTGTCACCATTGGGCTGCTGTTCCCTGTGCTCTCCGTGGCCTACCTGATTGCACCCAAGAGCAGGCTGGGACTGTTCATTAAAAAGCCATTTATAAAGTTCATCTGCCACACCGGCTCTTACCTAACCTTCCTCTTCATGCTCCTGCTGGCGTCGCAGCACATCGTCAGGACCGACCTTCACATGCAGGGACCTCCTCCCACCATCGTGGAGTGGATGATCCTGCCCTGGGTTCTAGGTAAAGCAGAAACATAACAGTGCCTGAGCCACGGTGGCCTGGCCCCCGCCCGTGGAGACTCATTCCTGATCTCAGCATCATCAGCATGTAAAGGGATTTGGCAGGCAGCTCCTGTAACTGCACAGAACAGCTGGGCTCCTTCTGGAACAACAGATCCTGTTGGCCTAGGGCTCTTCTGCTCTTCACACTGCCATCTGACGTGCCTTTAGCCATCACCCTGAGTGAAGCGTGGCAGCCACAGCTCCCCCCCTGCTCCCCCTGTGCTCTGGGTGAGGAGCAGGTTAGGAATTAGCTTCTGGGCCACAGTGGTAGCAAACAGTGTCCCTCCTGATGCTGGCTTAGCCCTGCTGGTGGAAGGCAGCTCCAAGAGCCTGTCTCTGCCTTCGCCTTCCTCCAGTCTGTTCCCAGAGCCCGTGCGCAGGTACCAGCACATTTTATTCCCAGGCTCCCAAACAGCCTCCAGGAGGGCAGAAAAGGGAAGATAAATCTCACTTTATGCCTGTGCTGATACACACTGCCCAAATCAATACCGAGCACTCTCATTCAAGCAGGAGAAGAGGGGGTGTTTGTTAGCAGCAGGTTAAACGTGAGGCTGTTCCTCTGCTCTGGCTTGGGCAAGACAAGGAGGTGTCCATGTGCCTGATGGAGGGATGTACGAGAGAGGTCAAGGGATGGGATGGGAGAAAGTGGGTAGAGCCACTGAGGGAGAGGAGCAGAGAGCAGGGTTGGATGTATTCTAGATGAGAGAAAAGTATTTATGCTCCAACACAAGAGCAAGTGAAAACCTGTGGACTCCTTAAGAAGTATGATCTCTCCTCTGATGAAGGTCCCATCTCCCTTGTGCCATTAGCCATGAGCTGGGCTGTTCCCAGGAGCCCTGCTCACGGGCAGTGGTTTCCACACCTTTACAGCTCTCTGCTCCAGCCTCTGTCCAAACAGCCTGGGTCAGTTCAGTGCAAAACCCCAGAGGTCAGGTAACGGTGAAGTGTGACTCTCTAGTAGGGTTGGTGGCCTGGAAGGCCACACTGATGCTTCCTGAGGATACCTCTCACAAACCTCAGTGTCTGTAGCTCTCCTTGGGGCTCCTCAATGCTTGTCCTGGGTCCAGCTCTGCTTTCCTGTGCCTGCTGGCTCCCCTTGCCTGGTGACACTGGGCCCCAGCTCGTTTCTGTGGTAGCTCTGGATCAGGCTGGTCCTGTGCTGAACCAACCTAGCTGTTCCCCATGCCAAACCTAAAACTGGAAAGAAAGTTAGAGTTGTCCCATTGTGACACTTTCCAAGGCACTTTGCTCCTTGCACAGCTCTACCCCATGGTAACTCAAGCTTCATTATCTTACTAAACTGATTTATGGCTTTGAAATCCATCTGTTGGTAGAAACTTCAGGATAAGCTGAGAAGGTTAAATGTCTTTTTTGAGCTTAGATGATTTCTTCACTTTATCCTTAAGTTCATGGTTAAAACTGAGGGAAATGGCAGGCATTTCAGCACAATTGATTTGCAGATGAAAGAAAGATAATCCATTAAAAAAAACCCTTTCAAAATCACTTCTTACAGCTGTCTGCTCTTTATGAGCTCCTTTGTTTCGGATAAATAGGGATATTGTGGGACTGTTTATTAAATGGAGAAATTAGAACAGTTTCACCAGATTAAAGGTTATTATTTAAGAAATATTTTCCACTCTAAAAGGAGAGAACAGGCACACACAGCATTGCTGTAGCTATAGTAACCAGCAATGATAACTCACTATAAATACAGTGTATGAGTTCTTCGACAGGCTCCTCTCCATTGATTTATTTTATTTTATATCTTTGTGTGCATGCAAAGATTTGGAGGCAGCTGTAATAAAATTACCCTATTGGCCTTGACATTATGCTGGCCTGGCCATTGACCTGCTGGCTGGCAGCTGAAGAGCTAAGATTGAGATTTGGGTGGTTGCAGCAGTTCATTCCAACATTATCAGCTCTTCAGATTGAACTTGCAGGTCCTAAAACTTGAGTTGCAAGTAGCATTTCAGAGACAACGACAGCATCTGGTTGTTAGGTATGGGCAGCAGTTTGGGTAACTATATTGGTAATGCACCTGGAGGTGTATTCTATTGTTTGGTTTTTTTCTTTTCACACATGTTTCAGATCTTCATTCAAGGCTAATATTGTAAACTGGGTAATTCAAAATTTCTGGAGGCAGCAAGATGCATAAATACAGTGCCTGAACACAGAGAATGAATTCACTCCTTCCTCCTTTGGTGTGGCATTCCCAGGTCAGGCAGGAAACGTGCTGGCACACAGGAGCTGGTACTGCTGGTGTGTCCTCTGCAGAGAAGGTCAGGAAAAATCAATACTGCCCTACTGAGCACTGAATTACTTAAGGTTTCTATGAGCAGACAATCTTAGAAAATAGACCAAATACAGCTGCTTAAATAGTTTATTCACGTAGAACAAATTTTATCTGAGTCAATCCACTTATAGTTGAAATAATTAACATATGTTTCAAGCAGCCTTCTTGTGTATGTATCTGGGGCCCTGGATGGAAACCTGGGTCTTCTCAGACCTCTCTAGACTCCGTTCCCCACAGAGCTGTAAAATGTCTCAGGATCAGCAGTATAATGCTTTTGTGGAAGACAGGAGGGGTGAGACATTTTTTTCCAAGCTGTTAATTTAGAATTGTCTTTTATGACATCAGCTACACAGAGTGCTTTAATGGCCAATAATTCCTTGCCGTGACAGTGAACTCTCATTCTTTCTACAGGTTTCATCTGGGGAGAAATCAAGGAAATGTGGGATGGTGGATTCAATGAGTACGTACACGACTGGTGGAACCTGATGGATTTTGCAATGAACTCCCTCTATCTTGCAACTATCTCCCTTAAAATCGTTGCCTACGTCAAGGTACAGTAACTTGGGAGACAGAATTTGTGACTTGCTTGTGAGAACTGTAGTATGCAGGGGGGAAACTGTCAGAATCAGCATTACAGATAACTGCTTCTCAAGCAGCCCTGTTTTCAAAATTCACCTGGAAAGCTTATCAGTTTGTTTGGAGAACAATTGTCCTTGTCTTCCTGACTCTCTGATTGAGACTGAAGCAGCTTGTTTGGGTATTGGGTAGATGTTTCTCCAGCCTTGCTGTCCATTTTGTAACTGCTCAGTTGCCAAACATACGTTTTGTTTTCCATGCTGACACTGGACCTCTTTCAAATGTAGTGAAAACATGACTTTAAAATAAAACAGTAGGGAAAAACAAGAATAGGATTATCTGAAAACATCTACAGCTGAGATTTATAATGTGTAATCCTACTGTAGCAGTGTAGATGACTTAACAGAAGTTTGTGAAAAAGCAAGCCTGCTAGCAGGAGGCTTCCATCTGATAGCAAGGAGTCAAGTTATTTTCTTCAATATAGAGTTTTAAACTACAGGCAGGGGAAGGGCAAAGCAGCATGCTGGGGCTTTAACACCAGGTAGATTCTTCACTGTCGTGTTCCATTTGTGGGGAGAATGCACATCAGAGCTCAGCCTCAAAGGCACCTTCCACATTTATAAATTTCTGATGCTCCAAGTTAGCATATGTTCCAAAGCCAGAGGATGGCCTGAAGCACTTTGCTTCTGTGTGTTTTTTCAGAGACACAGACAAGACACAAATGGCCTCCTGCAAACTTCCTTATGCTGTCTTGACTTCAGCTGGGGCTGTGTGCTTGGCCTGATTCTTTTCTTGGTATGAATCAGCAGTAACTTCACCCTGGTTAGTGTAGTCACACGAGTGTAAATCACTTCAGTGGAGTTTGCTCCTTGGGCACTTTTGTGCCTTCTAAGTTTTGCTGTGCTACTCTTGGTTTTGCCCTGGTAGAAGGGTACCAGTCCTTATAGCCCAGCTCCTACTAACCAGGACAAGCACTTTCCCAAAGCAACCTTGTTTACTCCTACCCAAGCGTGTGTGCAGGAAAAGAGGAGAAAATTTCACAGAGCTCCTTGACTCCAAATGGCTTTTGTAAAAGACTCTTTAGTAAGCAGTCCTGCCGTGGGGCCTTTTTAACATCCAGCAGGCTGCAGAGTGGTTCAAAAGGAAAAGCTTTAAGATAGTTGCTGCTCCCTGAAGAGGCAGCTCTGTAACAGCATCAAAGCAGGAACAGATTACGTCTTTTTTCTCCCAGCATTCAGAACCAGTGAGGAAATGAGACTTGAAAGGTTGATCTTTAAACCAAGAGCAATACAAAATAAAAAAAAAAAAAAGCTGGAAATCATAAGATATGTGAACAAATCTTAAAATGTTAACAGCCTCCTGCTCTCACACACAGCTTACTAGGAGGGCTGTGCACCCACAGGTCTGGACAGGCCCACACTGAGATTTAAACTCCCAGCCAAAACACAGGCACAAAGGGAGAAGAGCTTTGTGTATGTGCTCTGTGGGAACTACAGAAGCTTACAGGTGAACCACAAAGACCCACGTGCCAGCACACAACAGAATGCTTACAGGAACGGATCTGGGGACAGATCAGACCCACTTGGACTAAACCTGGCTGATCTGAGCTCTGCTTTTGATAAGGACCAATGTCAGGCAGTTCTGAGAGGTGCCTAAAACCTTCTGCAGGAGTAATTCTGAGGCACCATGTTCACAGAAGTTCCCTTCTGACCTGTGTCACTTAGAGTATGCTCTGAAACAGCAGCATTTGTAATGTTGATAATGGCTTCAAAACCTCTTGCAATGGGACTTGTAAAGGTTTTTGTTATTTATGGAATAGCCCCAAGCTGGAAAAGGCTGGTATATAAGCCAGTGTGCCATATTCTAACACTTCTTAGGACTTCAAAGGATTACATGGACATTTAGCTTTCTGCCAAACAGCAGAAAAATAAACTGCATACTGACAGTCATGTTCCCCATCTTTGTTTTTACATGGAGGCTTATTTTTTCTTGATTCGACTGCTTCCAAGACCTGGCCCTAATATTGTCCAATACCAACGAAATCTTCCGGCTAATTATAGGGTAAAAATACTTTCTTAATCAATATTTATTTGAGGCATTGAATTAGCATCTAATGAGGAAGGGTAAATGTGACTGCCTGGAGCAATTTATTCCTACTATTCTGTGTACATCTCTGCAGCGTTTCATCTTCTGATGCTTGACCCAAACAACTGCAGCCTTCCCAGACACCCAGCTTCATAGGTACATCTCAACTCTTGTTTCCCTGTTCCCTGTGATGCTGGGCTCTCTGAAGAGATGACTGTTTTCCAAGCAAGGGTATACCATCAGTTTTAAAAGGGCCAAAATAAGACCCTAACAAGTTGCTTTTAGAATAGATGTGAGATGAAGACGACCTTTTCACATACCTTTGTGTGCAGTCTGTGCTGAGCCCTAGCAGAGAGCCCCTGGGCTGTTGTGTCCCTGCAGAAGAGACCTGCAAACAACTCTCCAAATCTGCTCTCTAGGCAGGGGAGCCTTTCCCATCAGAACCATCCTCCCCCACTGCTGGAGATGGGCAAAAAGTTGACATGTCTGCCTGTTGGTAAACATTTTAAGGCTCATCTTCAAATCAAGTTAACAGACGCAGGCCATAACGTTCATGTAATAAAGAACAGTTTGGAAATGTCAGAAGCAGTCAGAGGTCACGCTGAAATGCCTTTGTGTCATGTCTCAGCTCCTTCATTCAGAGGAATAGTTTGAAATATCAACTTGCTTTTAGTTGTGTCCTTGAAAAAATAGTGAGCTTGTGTATTGGATCTTCAGATTGGAATAGAAGGTCCCTGCAAACTCATCTGTCAGTATGATATTGATATTATTTCCTTTTAAAAGGTACAAAAATTATTTTAAGAGTCCTAACCATGCTGGCTACACTATTAGCTATATTATTATCCTTTTTGCCTTTCATCTTTGCCTTTTTATGCATGTTAAATGAGCAGAGACAAACGTTAAAAGGACCATTACTCCTTGATGTCAGAACGGCTTTGTCTCTGTTCTGTTGTGCCACTGTAGTGGAGCCAGAGTCCTTACATTTATACAGCCTGCTCTTTTGTGTTACCTATTTGCATCTAGTTGCACTTTGCATGGAAAATGCTTCTGCTTTTACAGTTACATTATTAACCAAGTTAATGTTGTAATTGATGCACTCAAACGTATCCGGTCTTTCAGCTGTAATTATGACCTCTGCTTTAGCAACCCTCCTAAAATTGCCATGACAAATTAGCTAATAAGAAAATTAATATGAAGAAAGCATTTTGGTTCTGGGCTGTTGGTACTTTTTCTGAGATTACGAGGGAAGGAAAGTGTTCACTTCTTAGGCTCAGTAGTTCACTGCTTTCCTTCTTGCCTCCCTCACATTCTTCCTGGAATGTGCAGTGCTTTCCATGTGCAGTCATATTTGGGAGGAAAAAGAAGAAAAAACTAATTGGAATTTCTGACCTGAACCTGCTGAAGGGCAGTCTGAACCCCTTTCAGTGTTGAAAGAGGAGGAGATTGGCTAGGAACCCATGGACTTGAAGAACCCACAAACAGTGAACTCAAAATTCAGAAGGCTTGTTTTCTAAATTTAGGCTAAGAACAGCCAACAAAGCAGAAGCCTCTAAAGAAAAGCTGGTCCCACAACTGTCCATAGCAGGGGGTCATAAACTAGTAGGGAGAGTTCCTAAGAAGACATCATTAAACCAAAGTGTCTGCCCTGATCATGTCAGCTTCAATCCTGAGGGTCAGCCTGACAGTCGGTGGGACTGCAGAGTTTAAAAGTGCTTCCTGTGTCACCAGTACTGGTCAGTAGTTGCAGGTGAAGCATCAGTATTAGGAAGTGTGACTTGCTGGGCTGCCTCAGAGCAATCCCCAGGTGACTCACTTGTGTGCCCTTGTTGTGTCTTTCAGTACAACGGCTCTCGCCCGCGGGAGGAATGGGAGATGTGGCACCCCACTCTCATTGCAGAAGCCCTCTTTGCAATATCCAACATCTTGAGTTCCTTGCGTCTCATATCCCTGTTTACAGCAAATTCACACTTGGGACCCTTGCAGATTTCTCTGGGACGCATGCTGCTAGACATCCTTAAATTCCTTTTTATCTACTGTCTGGTGCTTCTGGCTTTTGCCAACGGACTGAACCAGCTTTATTTTTATTACGAGACCAGTGCCTCGGAGGAGCCCAACAACTGCAAGGGGATCCGATGTGAGAAACAGAACAATGCCTTCTCCACGTAAGATCTCCTCTCCTTTCTGGTTTTGAGGCTGACTTCCACTGTCCCCCTGTCTAACCTGCCTCTGCCTGTTGTCTGCCACTGCACTGCAAGCGTCTTTATTTATTCATTGGCAAATCCCAGCCGAGCTGGTTGACTGTGCAGGAAAGGTGGGAGTTAACTGGGGCAGACATTCTGCTGAGCTTTGCTGTCAGAAAGACTCTTAGGTCTGGGAGACAGTCATTTTAGTTCTGGACCAAAGAGTCTCCCTACATGATCCTCCAACTTAAATATTATTACAGCTATACAATTTCAGTATGTTTGGGAAAACAAGTATCCTTTAGCCATAGTAATTGTTTCATCTGATTCTGGAGGGAAGGAAAACAAAATGTGGAAAACAAGGGATAAACCTACAAAAAAAAAAGGTATTAATAAATAATGTGATACAGCAACAACAATCTCACCTAGGCCATTTGTACGCATACATGTCACAGGCTTCTCTCATTTGCTTGCAGTGGGGTAAGACTAAAATCCCAGCAAAATCCCTTTTGCTGGAAAAGCTGGTGCTTTACTGAGATGTTGGCATGGCAATTGCTGTGATGACAGCTGGCAGGGCTGAAAGAGACAGTACAGGCTGAAAAATAACATGAATTGTCTTTCTGATGTATTTGTTTTAATTACTAGTAGTGGCAATAATTATAATAATCAGGCCCCCCCCAATTGTTTTTGCTGCTTGCACAGTACTTAAAACACAATGGGAAGAGAAATAAATAAAGCACGGTCTAGGGAAAGGCCTAGGCCCTGCAAACAAGCAAAACAAAACTGTTGTCCACCACTTTATGCTCCATGAAATAAAACTTGTCATTGTGCCCAATAATTCTCCACCCTTCCTCAGCTGGAGGCTTGAGGTCAAGAAAGGACTGGTGACATATCTGCACTGTTATCAGAAGCAGCTGATGGCTGAGGCCACATGACTAGGCTGGAAGAGGAAAGGCTCCAGCATTGTCTTGCAGGCTCCCTCCATAAGAGAAGTGGGGGGTTTGCATGGGACAGAGTCCAGCCTTACAAGAGCATCCTGACCTGCTAGACCAAGTGTGCTGCCGCTTGCCACTGCAGAGCAGGAATACCATAGGCTTGATTAATTTTCTCATTAAACCCATCTATATCTGGAGGAAGTGAGTGGAACTGCACTGTGCTAATGAAAAACAGAATTAAAGACTTCAGTCTTTTTTTTCTGTTTTAATTGCTTCACATGCCCCAGAAATGTGTTGTGCTGCCCTTGCAAAGGAATTAAATAACAACTACTATTCCTTGGTCTACATCCATACTGATGCAGCAGCCAGAGGGAGAAATGTTTGGCAAGCACAACATCTGAAGTGGCAACTTGTAGCTCAGGAAGGGTCAAACCCACGAAGCTGAGGACTAGAGCCTGCCTTTCCCTGGAGCTAGGGTGAACAGATGTATTCACTTCTGCATTCTGGCCTGGACCTGTCACCATTGCAAACCAGGTTTTTTAACAGATTTCACTGTCAGCAGGCTAGCAGAGAAAACAACAGCAGCATTGACTCAAGAAAACCAGCATTGGGTCAGCAGAAGGAAACAAAGCTCCTCAAGTCTGTAAGAGGGTGTAATATCTTGGGGACTAGAAATGATACAGAAGCACTTAACAGAAAGTGTGCAGATCAGCTTAAATACAGGCCACAATTTCTCCCACCCTCCCATTCAGTTTAAACCCCCTGCCAAGGAGAATGCAGCACAGGAAGGAAATTGAGGGGGCTCAGCCTTTATGGCAGAGGTTTGTTTAAAACAAAATCGCAGTGGGAGGGGATCCATTAGGATTGAGGTCTGCTGGCAGGGGACAGAATGCTCTGCAGTTACTTTTTTGTTTGAGACTCGCTTAAGAAATTTATTTAACATGTTCTTAAAAGCTTAAATAGTCATTATTAACACCCCCAGTACGAGCTGACATTTGGCCCTTGAGCAGATGCACAGCATGGGTGACTGGCTACCAGCGAGCAACCTGCAAAATGCTAAATGACATTGTTGGGCTGGGGAGAGCCAGCAAGGCTGGAGTGAATTCCACTCGGAGCTGGTGTTACCTCATGTTTGCTCATAGTTCATCCCTAATGAAAGAATAAGTGTAAAAAGCTCTCAATCAAAGCTTTTTCTTCCTACCAGCATTTCTAGGCGGCCACACAATAAGATGTAATTTTGTGAGGGAAGGAGAAGCAGGACGCCACTCGTGTTTGTACAGCTTGTTTCAAATGGGACACCTATTTACTGCTGCCTTATTTGCTGTTACTCCCAAAGGATGGGTTTAATATTTTCTTGGTGGAGGAATTTTCAGCATCGCAAACAAAGATCATGGAAAATATTCCTCTGTGGCAGCAGTGAGGTGAAATCATGAATAATGGAAGGAAGGGTTTGTGCTTCGGCCTCGCCGTCCCTCAGAAAGCAGAGTGGCTGCTGCTTGGGCAGGCAATCTGAAAATGGGTTTATCTCTGTGATTGTAGCAGCTGAAGGAGGGAGAAGAGAGAGAAGAGGCTGAGGAAGGGGTGGGGAAGTCAGAGGCTGCCTGCTGTGTGCTCTCCCTGGAGGGCCACGCTGCTGGCTGGGGCCGTTCCTCCAGGGCCCGCGGGAGGCCAGGAGGGTGCCTGTGGCACAGGGGGACACTTGCTCTCTCTAAACTGCCATGGAGAGTGGTGGGGCTTTGAGATTCCTCCTGTTTGCTTAAGATCCAAAGTGTATTCAGCAGGAGGGGAGAATCTCAAACACGATTTCTAAAATTGTATTTTTTTTAAAGCTGCTTCTCCAAAGTGGTGTGAGCCCCACCAGAAACACTCCCTGTAAGAAGAGGCTGTGGGTCTGGCCTGTCACTAAACTCTGAGAAGAGAGCAACTAAGTCCTACTTCTGTGCAAAGCTGCAGAAACCAGTTGCTCTCTTTTCCAAGGAGGACTGCATGTCCACATGTAAATATATTTGCCTTAGTCTGGGCCCAGATTATACTCCTGATTAATCCTGAGCTCAGAGCAATGCACTGATTGCTTCTAAGACTGATTTCAGTTTCGTGACATGACCCCCTGTCTCCCCTGAGTCTACAGCTTAATTAGTACTTTTACTGCTAACAGTTAAAATAAGTTAGAAGATATTGAGCACTCCACCAATTTTAGCAGAGAAATGCTTAGCATTCTTTGGTTAATCCTCATTTTACCACCTCACTAATTTAATAAATCTTTATTTAAAAATTAAACAAACAGTCTGGCTTTGGGGAGAAAGGATTTTTGCTTTAAAGATTTTTTATCATTTTAGCCAGTGAAAAACATAAGATACTTCCACAAAATATAAAGAAACTAAATTCCCCTATAAAGCATGGAGGTACCTATGGAGCAGATGCCTGGAGAAGCCAGGAGGACAGATTCCTGCTATAAGTAAAGTATCAGAATTATTTGTATTGGGTTTTTTTTAGTAGGAGCATTTGAAAATACCTACTGACTCCAGGCCAAAATGGAAACTCTTCAGCAGGCATAGAAAAGTCCTTTTTGGATGATATAAATGCTGTATTTTGGAAAGCCCAAACAAAGATGCTGAACCAGAGCAATTATTTAGATTGCTGATTATGTGTTTTGACGGGACTGTGAAAGGTCACTTGTCTCTGGCTGGAGCAGCTAGAGACCTGGGATGATCTCATCAGCTGTAGAGCACAGTGAGGTCAGGTCTAGTTCATCTGTGGAAGAAGACTTCAGAAGAAGAGACCTTCTCAAGCGGAATTAATGGGATGGCTCTCTTTCATCTGAGTCATTACTGATCAGTGGTTGCTTTTGAGGGCAGCACGGTGGGTGGGAGCTGCTGCACAAACAGGCCCCAGGGACCAGCAGTTTGGGCACGTCCATTGCTAAGGGATGGGGTGTTAGCACCCTGGCCTGGGTCACTGGCAGCCCCAGTAATTGCACCTTCTCAGCCCTAGCAGAGCACAAGGTGCAAGAGGATGGGATTTCCCACATCTCCTGCCTGGTGGTGCCTCCTTGTTGTGCACTGCTCACTACAGTCATGCTGCATCTGGGGATGGGCTCCCTGAACATGCAGTCTGCAGACCCGTGAATGATGCAGGCACTGATTAAACAGGAGGGTTTATATCTATCATAGAATCACAGAATGGTTTGGGTGGGAAGGGACCTTGAAAGCTCATCTAGTCCAACCCCCCTGCAGGGAGCAGGGACATCTGCAGCTAGAGCAGGGTGCTCAGAGCCCCGGCCAACCTCACCTGGGATGGTTCCAGGGATGGGGCAGTGACCACCTCTCTGGGCAGCCTGGGCCAGGGGCTCACCACCCTCAGTATAAAAAAGTTCTTCCTTCTCTCTAGTCTAAATCTCCCTCTTTTAGTTTAGAGCCATCACCCCTTGTCCTGTCACAATGGGCACTGCTCGAAAGTCTGTCCCCATCTCTCTAATAGTCCCCTTTAAGCACTGAAAGACAACAATAAGGTTTCCCTGGAGCCTTCTCTTCTCCAGGCTGAACAACCCCAACTCTCTCAGCCTGGCCTCCCAGCAGAGGGGTTCCAATTCCCTGTCACAGTGGGCTCTGCTAGAAGGTCTGTCCCCATCTCTCCTAATAGTCAGTCCCCTTTAAGCACTGAAAGGTAACAATAAGGTTTCCCTGGAGCCTTCTCTTCTCCAGGCTGAAGAACCCCAACTCTCTCAGCCTGGCCTCCCAGCAGAGGGGTTCCAATTCCCAGATAATTTCTGTGGCCTTCTCTGGACCCACTCCAACAGGTGTGTGTGAGTCTTGCAGTGAGGACTCCAGAGCTGGACATAGTACAGAGAGATGTATCTATGCTGAGATAGAGACATACCTGTCTGTACTCTGGTAGGTATATCTGTCTGGACACTACAGACAGCAGCAGTATTACAGCATAGTAACAGTATGAATTAGGAGGGGTATATCCTGGCTGTTCTTGGCATGTGGGCAGGAAAGGGAACCTTGGGTTCCTGCAGGGCAGTCAGCCTCATGACATCTCACAGGGACAGGGCTCTCAGACAGGTAGCAGATGTTGATGTGGCACAGCTCTTGCATGCATCCACCTTTGGGCCCCTGTGGCTGGAGTACAGGTTGCCCCTTGGTGAGAATGTGGTGCCCCAGGCTCCTGACATCTCTGCTTCCTCACCTGAAGGAGGCATTGCTTTCCATTCCCCAGGGGCAGGTAGCCAAGTCAAAATCTGGTTTTACTTGCAGGCTTTTCGAGACCCTCCAGTCGCTCTTCTGGTCTGTGTTCGGTCTGCTGAATCTCTACGTCACCAACGTGAAGGCCAGACACGAGTTCACAGAATTTGTTGGGGCCACTATGTTTGGGACCTACAACGTCATCTCCCTGGTCGTGCTGCTGAACATGCTCATAGCCATGATGAACAACTCCTACCAGCTCATCGCCGTAAGTTACCTCCTGCTCTCCCTGGGCTTTTGTTTTCCTCCCCGTGCCTCCTCTCCTTGGCTTACAGCAGTGTGGAACTTCTGGGATGCTGGAGACTGCTGCCCCCAGTTTTTGACAGCAGGTAGTTGGGATTTCTACTCACTAGCCTGAATCATGCCTGCGGAGGAGGTTTTGCTCTGTTTGTAATGCTCCTTAGCTGGAAAAGGCTCATCAGCTGTGATGTGCTCTTGCCTCCTCCTGTAGAGTAACCTCACGGATCACATTGTCAGGAGCAGCTCGTGTACCTTGTAGCAGAGAGTATGTGAGGGGAAACCTTCCCACTGCTTCTCCTCTTTGGTTCTAACTTGGGGGGTGGGTGTTGTGCTGCTTTTTTTCCTCTCTCCTATTACTATTTTCTCATTTGAAACCATGTGTTGCCAGGAGCCCAGTCCTGTAATTTCTTATGCCACAGTCTTCCCACTGACATGAGCTCATTTCCATCTGTAACACCAGCCACTCTCCTGGCAGCTGACTCTAAACCTGTAGTCTCAGGTTCCTGAGTAACCTCCCTTTGGGATGGATCTCAGCTGAGGCAGCTCAGTGCTGCCAGTTGGCTGGAGAGCCAGCTTCAAACTTCACCTTATCTTCATTCCAATGTTCCAGTCTGGGGTCTCTACTGTAATCTCATGCTGTGAGACAATGATTATTAAATTTGTCAATAGATTGAAAACTAAAGAAGCACAGCTCTGCATTTTAAGGCTCTTTAGGTAAATGACACAGGAACAGCATGGAAGGAAGTGAAATCTTCTGTGCACAGCACTTCAGGGAAACCAGTGGGCACTTACTTTCCCATTCTGACACTGAACATGATAGTTTGGGGATAGGGAGGTGATGAATTTTTACATCATCTGTGAACAGAAACAGGAGTTTGGGAAGTTATCTATGTCCTCAGCTGGTCACTCAGGAGTAGAGGCAGAAGCCTTCTGTCTCTGCTTTGGGTGACTCTTGGATTTACTCCCGAAGATAGGAGGATAAAACAGGAGAAAAAGAACCAGCACCAGCTCTCCAACTTCCATTCCCAACTTCCCGGACAGATGTCTGGGGAAATAGTGGGGGAGCTCCTTTCCTGCCTAAAGCACACGGAGGAGAGTATTGAGTTGTCTGCTTGAACAGGTTCCACAACTGCTGTTGATCATCTGCTGATTCCAGCGGACCCTAAATTTAGTTATCTAGTCAAAGTGAGCACAGACCCTCTCCAATCCGAGCTACTTTTGGACATCTGATCTTGATCACGTTAAAAAGTATGAGAAAAACTGGACCGTTGACCTTCCAAATGAGCAGAAAAGCAGCTTATCACAAAGGCATCACTGCTTTATCAGTCTGGTTCAGTGCTTTAAGGGCTTTCTCTTTGTTCAGTGCTACTCCTCACATTCCAGGGAGACTGGAATGAGGGACGGAAAACAAAGATACTCTCCCTGGCCATTTTCTCCCATTCCCCTTCCTTTATTGTCACCCAATAGGCTTGTCACCGACACAAAGCCCAAACCTTAGATTGGCATAAGAATAGCAGTGTTTGCTATTCACTGGGATACAAACCACTCATCACTTTTTTGCCTGAGTAATTTGAGTGATGCGATGACACATTACAAACAATCCCACATGACTTAAGACCCATCATAACAATTAACTGAAGTGAATGGTCCGGAGCAGACCGTTGTATGGATGGTTTTGTTTGTGGAGCAGTTGGGAGCAGTGAATTGCTCCATCAGAAAGCTGCTTCTGAGAGAGCTGAGGGTTAAGGACAGAACTCAACCCCTAAGCTAGGCACAGCCACCGTGCAGTGTGCAGCTCATGGACCCTGCTCAGAAGAAAGATGGTGAAAATGCTACAGGATACTTCTGCATCACTTAAGCTGGCACATGGCAATTGCTACTAAGAGCAGTGGCATTTTTTGGGAAGACAAGAGGCAGTCACTTCCAGCCACTACTCCTGCCCTGCCTGCAGCTTGCTTTGTGAAGCTAATACTTCTGCATTCTCTCGGGGACAAGTTTTCTTCAGCTGTCTTCTAAGGGCAAGCATCAATTAATCTCTTCCCTGAAGAAAACAACGTGTTCATAAATGTTGAGCTTTGCAGCTGTGGGTCATTTCTGAGCCTCCTGTAATTAGGTCTACCCTTTTCTGAATCACACTAGACTGGTTGCTAGACAGGGCAATTCTTCCTCCTGGTATTGCCATCAGGCTGGGTACACGGGCAGTGACAGCATTCCAGGGAGGAGGGAGGGGAAGGGCCCGAGAAGCCCTTGGGGCAGGGTGAAGGTCTTCTCCTCAGAGACTTCAGTAGGAAATCTTGTGCCACGTGCAGGACTCTGCACAGCAATAAAACGAGCTAGATATCGAGGATGAGTGTGCAGCTCTGCTTCTTGATTTCCCCGCAGTGATCAGAACATCTTAATTAATTCCACTTGTTAATGATCCAGTGGCTCTGCTGCAATGCGAACTGTCGTCCTCCTGCTCCTTTCTGCCAAGGACCAATATTGTAATGCATTTGTAGCAGCTGCTCTTCAGGTTAGCTTTTCTCCATTGTCCCCTGGACACATGAACTTCTGCTGGAAGGTTAGAAAAAGGAGAGTCCAAGCAGCTCTTTGTTGTGTCTTCCCAGTGTGGGGGTCAGGGCCTGGTAGTTAATTAAGCACTGTAGGTGCTCAGCATGAAACCACAGAGTATCCGTGGAAGGCAGAGCAAGGCAAGCAAAGAGTAAACCCTCCACACAGCTTTGAGTGATTCCTGACTCACAGAAGGAAGAATTTTTCTGCCATAATTTTGTTGTTTTTTTTTTTTACTAAGCTATTTCAGACTTCAATAAATACATTTTTTTTCTAGGGGTGCCCTGAAGCACTTTCAATATTGATTTTTTCATCCAGCCCATTTTTCTCTTTTGCCAAACCACCATCAAGAGCTGGTTCTGGGAGACACATTTCACCCACCCAGCAAACAAAACCCAAACACACACTAAACTTTCCAGCCTCTCTGCACTGGTGAAGGTCAGAATGTTCCACACAAGCAGCACAGAATGCAACTGGATGCTATGCACTGCTGGGTCACTCATTTCAATACCCTCCCAGGCGTGACCGGAGTACCATCACCTGATGAACAGGAGAGGAATATGTCACAATGACAAGAGGAAGGACAGTGGAACTTATCTGAGGTGGCTCCATCATTTGTCAGTGGCAGAAGGTAACCAAGTGGGTGATGAGGACACGCCATGGGCCAGGCTGTTTCTCACCTGGCTGCATCTGAAGTGATACAATCCTTCTGCCAGTTTGTAATTCTTCCCTAACAAGGTGATGGTGGTTGTTGCTGGGGTTCCTGGGGTGCAGGTGCATTTTGGCCTGTCTGGTGCCCTGGGGTGCAGGTACATTCTGCAGGGAGTGATCAATCTGTGCCTGTTTTCTGGCAGTGTGTTCCTTATGGACACATCCGTGATATTCTGGGAAGTCATGCAGGAATTAGTCACTGGAACTGTACCAACAGTTCTGACTCTGCAGCTGCAGGAGCGATGGGAAGCAAGAGCAAAGGAAGAACAGCAACTTAGACCCACCTGCAGGAGGAAAACCATAGGGCTGTGAACTCACAACCCGAGTTCCAGGTGAGTTTGAGTGATAAGTGGAGCACAACAGTGCTCCCTGGCATCCCACAGACATATTAAGGAATATCAAGCTGCAAAATGGTTTTGCACATTGATTTTGTATCCTCATGTTGGTTTGCACATCTCTTATTTCAAGGTAGTGGAGCACAGCAGTGCTGCAGCTCCCTGGCATCCCACAGACACATTAAGGAATATCAAGCTGCAAAATGGTTTTGCACATTGATTTTGTATCCTCCTGTTGGTTTGCACATCTCTTATTTCAAGGTAGTTGGTCCCAGCTGTTAGAGCAAAAGACACCTGCGGGTTTCATTTCTTGTGTATGACACATTGAATTGTAGTTGCCAGTGTCTGGATTGGAGAAATTAGGGCATTGGGCACCAAACTAGGAGTGCAGTTACAAATGCTGGAAGGAAATAGAGTGGATTAACACACATTGTGGAGGACAAGGATGAAAATCATCAGTATTTTGCACAGCCAAACAAAAGCTGAACAGTAAACAGAAATGGTATATGCAGGTAAAAACAAGGGATCACTTTCAGGACATTCTGACTGTAAATGCATGTCCTGGTTTTGCTGGGATGGAATCCTGGGCCAGCCATGGTCTGCAGGCTGTGAGCAATTCCAGTCAGCCAGGAGATCAAACTGGGCAGGGCAGAGGCCAGGGCAGCTGGTCTGAGTTGGCTACAGGTGTAGCCCAGACCAGAAACTTCATGCTCGATGTAAAGGGGGAAGTTTGGTGAGGATGAGGCCTCCTCCTGTTCCTCCTCTTTGTTCTCCCCATCCCTGGAGGGTTTCACTCATCACCCTGCTCCCAAGGACTGCTCTTTCCTGCTTATGGTGACCACCGTGTGCTCACTGGGCTGAAGATAAAGTTGTGTACTTTATATTGGCATTAGTATTAACATTAGTTTTGCTGTTTCATTAAATCCATTTTCATTACAGCCCACAGTTCTCTCCTTTTCCTGATCCCTCTTCTCAGCCAGGGAGGGGTCATTGAGTGATAGATCAACTGCTACAGCTTAGCCCTGGGTGTGGGCTAAATGGAGACAGTGTAGGGATGTTGTACGTGGACTTTGCTTCATTTTTTTTGCAGAGTATAGAACTTAAAGATTTTTCAGCTTCCTATTACATTGTTTCCAAGATGGCTTTGGATTCCCCTAGGAAATAGCATCAAACTTTTCTTGTTCTACACAGAAGAATTCCTCTAGTTTTCTGCACCAGCTGAACTCCCTCAGCACCATGGCAGTAATTCCTCCCAGTTAAATTCACAACAGCAGCAGAAATTCTCTTCCCCACTGTGATCTGTGACCCTTAGGCCTGTCAAAAAAATGTTGCACCTCCTCTGCTTGCATGACCTGCGAGGTTATGACTTGGT